GGAATTTGTTTCTGACAACAGTATAGTGGACATCTGAAGGGATAGGGTAGTTTACTGCCTATTTCCTCTGTGGAGGTGCATGTACTTGAGTAAGGTCTTGTTTTTTTGTGGGCCAAAGCTAGATCTGAGGCAGTATAACTAGATAAAGCTAGATCTGAGGCAATATAGAGCAGTGGGAGAACGGGTCGACATGTTGCCCCTTAATTTATACCCCCTACCTGCACAGGTACTCCAGTAGCCATTGTCTGATGGCAAGTGAATTTTATTCGGGGCAACTAATTTTCATGTCCAACCTATCCTACATTATAATTTGACTATGTAGGGTAGAGTACTGGAGCTCAAAGGGTTAATCAGACAACAGTATGTGTCCAGTTAACCCATTATAAACTAAGTTCTATAATGCCAGATGATTCAAATGGGTTAGCTGCCCGCCTGGTTTAATGAGCTTACTAGCTACATGGGCAGATCTGGTTAACCCATCAAGTGCAATTAATGAATATCATAATTGCCTTAAAGTACCAAACTGCCATGTTAATTACTTGTCAGCTAAAAAGGTCACTCACCCAGTCAAAATACCGTTTTGGCATATATGAGTATGAATGTTGCTGTTAAGCAGGTTTTCAAGTTTCAACTTACATGTATAGCAAAATTTAGTTGCATTAATTGATCAAAGCTAAAAACTTGTTATATAGCTTTTTAACCATTGGCAATTAATTTTGCTGTGAAAAATTTCACTAACTGATCATCTTGCCACAACAAATTTCCCTCACATGAACAAATTTGTCTAGTGGAAAAACCAACTGTAATTAAATGTGTTTACCATCAATCAAACAGATATTATTCGCATAAATCCATAGGGAGTAGTTCATTTTTGCATTTTCTAGACAGTATACCGGTACCGATACGTATACTAACTGGATATTCTTTAATTAAGCCATGCCATGAATATGTACATCAAACAGTAAACTGTCCTGTGTCTCACACCAATGTTGCTGCATGACAGCATTTAGGTTTTACTTTATGATGTTTTACTTATTTTGTGTGTGTTGGTGTTATGTACTCAGGTAAATATGATGTTTGTAATGTTACTCTGAGTGTGCATCACACCGGGCAAGCTGAAAAGTTACTAACTGTAGCTTGGCCAGGGTGGGAATCGAACCCGCGGCCTTTGGGATACTGAGAACATGCATAACACCAACACAGCCACACAAAATAATCATATCATAGAATACTCTGATTTCGAAGGAACTGGACTCAGTTCCGAAATATCATCAACTCGAACCGACTTGACCACGTAGCTCAGTTGGCAGAGCATTGGACTATAGTATCCCAAAGGTCACAGGTTTGATTCCCACCGTGGCCAAGCTAACTTTTCTGCTTGCCCGGTGTGGATGCACACTCAGAGTAATGTCACATTATGTATTTATATATTACAGAGCAATGGCCAAAATGAAAATAAGTTGACTTGACTTCTGCTTAGTACGTCTTATACTATATCATACTTATCCAGGGCATGAAATTTGAATCCTATGGGATACAAGTTACTTGAAATCAGAATATCTGGTATGATAATAGACATTGTAGTTAACAGTACCAAAGCAATGATTCAGAAGCAAACTTCAACAATCATTCCAACATTGGTTTCGTGGATGAGCAAATCCCATTGGATCAAACAAATCTTTCAACAACCAGACTACGCACATTCAAAATCTTGCATTCCATGGATTCAAGTCCAAGTGTCTTATTGGGCACCAGCGCTCCCCAATCATGGTAACAAGTGCCGTAAAATCTTCTGACATTAGACAAACTATTAAGATATTAGAGTACAGCGCATTAGGGCACACCAATTTAATATATGGGTTAACTACAGTAGACACATAGGGAGATAGCCTGGTTAACCCATTGGAAGCAAGCCCTCTTCCTTGGCAATTATCTGGCAATATACAGTCGATGGAGAAAATGATAATGTAGGGTGCATTAGGGCACAATGGAACTTAATGTGTTAATATCAAGGTCTAATAAATGATAAATTTCCACTCAATAATTTTCATCTACAAGGCCCGTCAACTATATTTAATTGAGTGCAGAGTTCAATATAATTCTGAAAACTTTGTCTGAAATTGTGTCAGACCAACCTAATGTTTTGGTCGGACATGATCGGACCCTTAATTATTCTCAAGAGAGACTTTGTCAGTTGTCAGTACTAGAAACCGAAACCGTAACAACTATCAATGTCCAAAACCATATGCATATTCATAATGGTTAACAAATTACACAATATCAACGACAACTCACTCAGTAACAGTATATATACTGTATATATAATATAAAATATTTCTCTTATTACACACGAAAAATTATGAACAGGTTACACTCCTATCGACCAAGCGTCATTGTGTACTATAGACTAATAGCAGTATCCCAGTTTTAGGTAAGAACTAAAGTAAGTTGGTGTCAGTCACTGCCAGAGTCTGTAGAGTGGAGAATAATGAACTAAAATGAATTATAGATACCAGTATACAAAAGACGCTGTTGTTTTTAATAATTGACGAGATTACAGATGGATCGGCACGAAGTCGGATTCTGCCATAATGTCTAGCAGGCGGAATCTTTGTTTGCATGACTGTGTTGAAGATTACAGATTTTATTAAAAAGATTTACAACAATAAAGGAAGAAATATTCAAATTGATGAGACAAAACGGTCGGGCATAATGTCCGTGCAGAGTAATCAGTAGACGGACATATCAGCATTTTGCTCGGCTAATGGCCGGTAGCCGACCATTATATTGAGCCCTGATTGAGTGAGATGCCAACACAATCTTGATATTTAGTAGTCTACTTATAACCTAACATGGCAGTACCCTAGCTAGAATACATACTGAACATGAACTTGTGGTTAGAGCTCGACAAATGGCCTCTGTAGCTCAGTTGGTTAGAAGACTGCACCGGAATTGCAGGACAGCAGGTTCGATTCCTGCAGGGACCTGTAGGGGAGCATTTTTCGCAGCTGTTCCTGATTACTTCTAATGAATGTATATAAATTTCCACTTGATAATTTCCATCTACAAGACCCTTCAACTATTGATGTGTTAATACCATGAACTTACGCACTAATCTACTTTTAATTATTCAATATGATTGTATACACTATTTTACTCGTACTTTATTTTTAAAATTCAACAATATTTTATCTTTAGTTGAACCTTTCACATGCCTTGTCTACAACCTCAGTGACAAATGCAGAATTCTTCCCAAATGCATATGATGCAGTCAAGGACATCAAAGATGATTCAAAGATATTAGTTGGAGGTAGGTTGACTACTGTAACTGTTTATTTTGATATTACTGACATGTACCAGTCCTCTGGTATCAACTTAATTTTCTACTGCAATTAATACCATTTACGTTATGTACTGTACGTATGAATCCAATGCTGGAAAGTGTCCAGCAGCACCGTTGCCAGGGCATTTTTAACAAAAATCTTGGCAGGAAATTGTCTTATACCTCTTGCAGGAAGCGTTTTGAAAGTAGAGATTATTGAAGTTTATCAAACTGCGGTGCCATACTGTACGTTCTCTGAATCTACATACTGTAGTATATGCCGGAAATGCTTATTTTTGGATTTTGCTGCCAGTAAGAAAAATATATTTTCTCGGCCTGTATGAATCATGGAATGAAAAAAGGTCGGAGTTGCGAGGTTATTATAGGGAGGTTAAGTGAACAGTTATATGAGCCGGTTAAAGATAAGCAAGTTATCACTGTTATCCATGACAAATTTTCATGTGGCAAGTTTATTTGCTATGTCAAATTTCATGTGGCAAGTTTATTTGCTATGTCAAGTTTATTTGCTTGCCAAATTTTTATGTAGCAAGTTTATTTGCAAGTTTATTTGCTATAAGCAAGTTATCACTGTTATCTATGACAAATTTTCATGTGGCAAGTTTATTTGCTATGCTACAGTACAACAAATTTTGTTTGAGAACGTTTTGGTTGTCTGACTGCCACGATAGCTACGGTACAACCAGGGCGTTATAAAACACAAGTTACTTATGTTTTATAGCGCCCTGCTACAACTGTAATAGATCGCTGACAGACTGCATGCAAGTGCCTTAATTACTTCGTCAAATTTTGTCAAATTGGTACCCATACGGACGAGCAAAATTGAAATTTTGCCAGTTTTTTTCATGACAATTGACAAGTACGCATGTTCAAACGTTAGCATAATTATGTTAGCTTTTGATCAAGTGTACTTGTCTTAAGAAAAAACTTGGCAAAGTTGCCCGCCTGTTACCGGCTAAACATGATATGATTTTGTTGTCACGACGTACAGTAGGCAACTGTCAGTAAATGTCTATAAGCAGAGGTTCGACTGGAGTCACTGGACTGTACAGTATATATCTAAAATAAAAGAGAGAGGACTTAATATAAAATATGAAGTTCAACAAGTGAGTTACAGTTCTAAATTCTGCATTGGCAGATGAAATCTTGGCTAATTTCCTGAGTGGTTGTAATGACAACGTGGTGTGTCTTACGACGGCAGTAGACACCGCCTACATGAGGTACATACTGTAGTATGTTCTAAGCAGTTGATTTGGTCTCGGTTTTATTGACAGAGGTAGTCTTCTCGATTCTTAGGATTTGGCCTTTGTGGAATTCCAGAAAATCTTATCCAAGGTCTGCTTCAAACGAAAGTCAAAGGGCTTACTGTTGTAAGCAACAATGCAGGGTATGCTTGATGTGTTTGGTTAAAGTTTAAAGTAACTGTTAAATGAATTTTTTATGTTTGAGTTGTTTTAAATAACTATTTATTGTAGCTATATACCTGTAGGAAAGAACCACCATGGGCAGAGTTTAAGAATACATGTACTAGCTGTAGGAACATGGACGTACAGTACAATTGTAGGCCGAAAAATGCTTGCGTAGGTCAAGTATTTACAGTCCAGGTCCAATGGTTATTGCCACGTATGGTTATATGCATATAGATATAGAAATTATAGAAAATGCGTAGTTGGCGGTCTTAGGGTGTCCCTAATTTTTCGCTGTTTAGCCTGCGAGGCAGGCTCTCCTACGTTTCGAACAAAAAACGGCAGTAGTAATCCGTAAAGAATCAGTAATTAATTGAGATCAGTTGAAAACACCAATGATCGTTACATGTATAATTACTAATTCACAGTGGGAGGAAATACCTACTTGAGCTGGTACAAGCTGACTCAAGATACTACTTAGTCTTTAAAATATACCGGAATTCTGAACGGAATTCATTGAGTATCCTGAGACTACGAGTTAGAACAAGGATAACAATTGCATTATACAAACACAGTTCAATCATGTTTCCTGCCAACATATGTCACGACTTACCGACTAAATCACGGTTTTGAATACCTCGGTCTTGGTAGGGTCATGTGGTACCAGCAAAATGTAATTAAGTATACGCATGCAGATAGCACGAGTTCCGCGTACCTACGTGGTACTTGGCTGAAAACAAGAAGTATACCAGACCGTAATATTCGGTCGCACCCTAGCTGACAGCATCTAAGGAATTCACTATAAATTCGAACGACTCATAACCGCAGGTTATTGTTAACCACCTAACATAATTTGGTCAGTTTAACCAGATTATAGCGAGAAGGAGGTTACTTAAAATAACTGGGAAATTTAAAGAGAAATATTAAGATAACCCGATAACGTTATCCAATTGTTCATTTAGGGTTGATGATTTCGGCCTTGGACTTCTTCTGCAATCTAATCAGGTATATTTAATTATTTTGTAGTACCGTGTTTTGTAGTTCTGAAAGTGTACGAAATCATGGCCCCGCGTTTAGTGTCTCGCATATGCCATGTCTTGCATTTTTGGAATATGATTCCTGTCAATCTGGTGGATAGAATGACTCTGAGGGTTATACTAAGGTTGTTTGTTACGGCTCTGTAAAACTGTAAATGGTTTAATATATGTTATAGTCGTATACTCTGATACATTTTACAGTCAACTCTCGCATGGCTTAAAAAATATATCAGAAATGCCGTACGAGGTCGTACGTTCTGTACTAAGTTGACATACGTTTAATCGATGTTGACGTACGATTTTGTATACAAGTTTTCATATAAAATTCTCGCATAAAAATATGTTTGAAATGCTAGATTTAAACGACGTAACTTTAAATCGTAACCCTAACCCTAACCCAAATTAATAAAAAAATCAAAAAAGAAACAACTTTAGAAATTGATCAAGTGACGAAACATCAGTTTGGGAGATTGAAACAAGTGAAAACCATTTCAGAATCAGGTTAGAGGTGAATTTTTGTTCGTTGTCTGAAGGATTTTAAGGCAAACAGATAGGGGTAACGGTTCAGCTCTGATGTAGGAAGTGTACGCGATCGTACTTCTTGGCGTACGCCAAGCTAATTTCGGCGTACAATCGTACGTCCGTACTGTACGCCTATTTTTAAAGACCTGTCTCGTCGTAGTGGACACACTGGGGCCGGGAATAGCGAGAGTCCGGCATAGCGGGGTGCGAAATGATTGGAAAACGTCGCTACAATGTATTGCTGTGTTTTTCTTGTAATATGGTCAGTTCCTCTCAATTTCTAGTTTACATTAACTGTGGTACCATTACTGACAAGTCGAAAGACAAAATCTTTGTTTCAAAAAAAGTTTATGCCATGCAAAGTTTATTCCATGCAGAAAAATACATCGGTATAATATACATAATTCAAAGTATAATGTCGTTTCCTTATACAGTAACTGCACAGTCCAGTACGTCCAAGATATCCATTGTTACAAGGGTAGAACAATAAGAATGTTTGTTTGGACCACATGAAATGGTAGTAGTTCCGTAATAGTGAGAATCCGTATATAGCGAGAGTTGTTTCAATTTATTTCATTAAACAGTTTCGCCCGGGGATTTATTACAATGTAACTGTCTTTATTATATTCATTTTGAAATCAATGGTGTTTCCTGCAAACTGATTGGTTCACAAGAGTGAGATTTCAGCACGAATCGCACTGCGATTCGTGCTGAAATCGCACTCCTGTGAACCAATCACATTAGATTGCTGACTTCAGCCAACCAATCATATTTAATAATAGGATTCAAACAGCCAATCAATTTTAAGACAAATGTGTAATGGCAAATGAACAAAAACAAAAAAAATTACATATGTCATGAATGATTTAAAATTAAGCAATTTTTTGCACATAAAAACAAACTAATATGGATAGCTAAAGTAAAGTATCAAAGAATTGCAAATTTTACAAATAGTAAAAGGCAAATTAAGAACATAATCTTCTATCAATATTGTCAAAACGCCAACAAAAGCAAATTTAAATCAGGGAAAACAAAGGTAAATTTGCCTATCGTATTTTCAATTTTAAATGCACAAAACTGCACCAAAACTCTTTCAAATCACTCGTAAAACCGACAATATCTTTAACCTTACTTGTGCTGTCTCTTATTCTTTATAAATGTCTTCATTTCTTTAACAATTTAGATTTTTGAACGTATATTAAAATATAATTTGACAAAACTTCATTTTGTTCGCTCATTGTTGCTATGCTACAGCCGTCAGGGAGATACCGGAGGTGTGTCTTTTGCAAACAAAAACGTTTCCGGTTTACAAAAATGTTTTAAAATTTCAAAATGAATACAATAAAGTGGAAATTTAACTTCGTGTCGTGCAATTTTGGACTGAAATCAAACTTGTGATTACAAATCGCACTCCCGCTTCGCGGTCGTTCGATTTTGTAATCACGCGTTTGATTTCAGTCCAAATTGCACTCCACTCAGTTCAATTACCATTATTAATAGCGCGACTTGACTGTATAACAAATTATACGAAAGAACTCTGGAACTTATTAGATATGGATGTATATTATATTCTATTATATTCATATAATTCTTTGGGGAGGGACATTATATGTACCGCGTAGGATATTCGCTTAACGGTAGAACCACCAGCTGTTTCGAACTCATACTATTTAAACGGATT